GTCTCTGTGCCATCCTCTTCAGCCCGATCCGCAAAGGAACCCGTCATCACGTGAGCCCGATCCCTTCCATTCCATAGACTGTTGCTCTAACCCGTTTGCTCTCCCTCTCTCTCTCTCTCCCAGCACCTGTTTAATAAAGCTCTCGGTTTACTTTACCTCTCCGTCCCTGGTCTCCTTCTGTACTGTGACAATATGATGACTCAGTATGATATATCAGTGCTCTAATTTATTATTTGTAGGTTGCCTCATGGAGACTGACAAGCTGATGTCACATAATCAGCTAAATGGTACTTTCTTTATCTGGATAACCCTCCTGTTATTGGATTCTTCAGGGTGCAAAATAAATAAATCATGGGTCAATGAGATTTTTCTACAATGGCATATTGGTAATCTACTTTGTTTGCTGCATCAGCACTAGTAAGTATCACCATAAAACACAAGACTTCTGCCATATCATTCAGTGCAATAGAAACACAAAATACATCCCTTTTAAAGGTGCACTTAGTATTTGTTTTTATGTGGCAATGGACCATACAACAGTCATGTTGGATTTATACTGACAACTAGTGGCATGGAGAATCACTTGCATGCAGCATCAGGCAAAAAAGCGAAAGATTTCAGATATGGATGTCATTGCAGAAATGGAATTTATTTTGGTGCATATTTTCAAAATGTAAACTTCTGAGTGCATAGTTCACCCAAAAATTTAACTTGCATTACTTATCATTTACTCACTCTCATGTTGTTTTCAAACCTGCATGTCTTTCTTTCTTCTGCAGAACACAAAAGATGTTAAATAAATAAATCAATAAAAATAAGAAAAAACAATAAGACAATAATAATAATAATAATAATAATACCACAGAAGAAAGAAAGTCAAGACAGGTTTAGAATGGATCAGGATTAGAGTTAAGCAAATAATGTACTTTCTAAACATTATTTTCATTCTTAATTGACTTAAGAAATGTCACATATAAACAGATATGACACAGTAAAGCAAAATCATCTTTGATCAGAAATGCTAACATTAATATTTTGATTCATGCACACATAACACTCCAAAACATAAGTTGATAGCTAAAAGTCCAGAAAATTATGATAAGTAACATCTGGATCAATAAGAAATTTGTGAAATAAGATATGCAGGACCATTCCCACAGAGTTCCATATACATGAATATAGAGTAAACAAGATTCATAGTATGCACCAGTATCATTATAGCTATGGTGCTAGCTAAGGAGCCAAACACTCTCAAATGTAGGGCCTGTTTCTCTTATCCCCAAACGTAAACAGCAATCTGTGCTGCAAACTCCACTTATGCCCATTTTAAAAGCTTATACTGCTGTTATTGTAGCTCACAGAGGCCTGGTCTTTGAGAATGGAGCGGAACGTGGCGCGTCAGAGGTGACAGTCTTCACAGGCCGACACTGAGTGATGGCCATAGCACTCACCTTCCTGGGGCCGCTATCACCTTACACGTCCACAGAAAGTCAGAGACCAAGCCTCACGCTTGACTTCATCCTACAAACAGAGCCCCATCTCCTGTTTCAGAGGGTCATCTTCATGACAGACTGATGTAGCACCTTTCTTCATGGCGATGCTGGACTTTAGGGAAAACACTGACTGCTCTGGTTTCAAGCTTCTCTGCTTGACATTACTGTGATTTTTTTTTCCTGTGTGGATGCACAATATGTATGAGATAAACCTTATGAGTACTATCTCTCATATAAAGATCTGAACTAACCCATAACCCTAAGTATTAAACTTTGTTAAATAATTTTGTAAGCAACCAACCAAAACACCCCAGCAACCACCAAGCAATGCCCTAGCAACCACTCAGAAGACCCTAACAACCACCAAGCAATGCCCTTGCAACCACTCAGAACACCCCAGCAACCACCAAGCAATGCCCTAGCAACCACTCAGAAGGCCCTAGCAACTGCCATCCACATGCTAAACCACTTAGAACACCTTATTCTGATTATATACTACAGCAACGCCCTGGCATTAAGGTGTACAAGGAAATTTTCTCATCAACGTTAAACCATTAAGGCATTTTACTTCCCAAGTTTCAACCTCCGTGAAGTTGGCTCCCCACCCAACGCAAAACGTCACAAAAATAGTCTCAATCGTTTGTGCTCCGTTTGTGCTGGTTTGTTCTGTAAAAATTTTCGTTTGTGCTGCTTTGGTTTGTTAGATATAAAATATATCTAATATTTTCACTCAGCCCCCCCACATGCTCCAAATTCACCCCAAATAGTCTCGTTTGTTTGTGCCGGTAAAAATTTCATTTGTGCTACTTTGTTTTTTAAAATATTAAACATTATATTTTAGGCGATGACATCACCAGCCCCCCTACACGCTCCAAACTCACCCAAAATAGTCTCAATCGTTAGTGCTTCGTTTGTGCTGGTTTGTGCCGTAACAATTTTCGTTTGTGCTGCTTCAGTTTTTAACATATTAAGCATTATATTTTGAATGACCTTTAAATAAATATTTTATATCTAACAAACCAAAGCAGCACAAACAAAAATTTTTACAGCACAAACGGAGCACAAACGATTGAGACTATTTTTGCGACGTTTTGCATTGGGTGGGGGGCCAACTTCACAGAGGTCAAGAGGTCAAGTTTCATTAGTTACTTTAAAACTCAAAAAGAACCATGTGGAAATGGTGACAGAAGAGTGTATGATGATTTACTGTAGATCTTTATAGAATAACTTGCTTCAAGCTCCAACAAATTCTAAAATCCAAAGCAAACGTGTTGGATTCAGACACACACACAAAAAATTAAACGCTGTTTCTGTCCTTTTAGAGGTTTACTAAGGGATTCCGAACAATCATAGCATTTTGATGAAGCAAACTAAATTACACTGAACATAAAGGATTTGCACTTTTTGAATGACTGTTTCTCAAAGAAAGTGCTGAGAACAGTATGTAGCAGTTTACTTTTAAAACTACAATCATAAAAGTACACACAAGTAGCCCGACTGAGAAATTAAAAATAAATAAAATAAAAATAAAGCTGACAAATAACACACCTCATTTTTTTAACATCAAGTTTCAATTTATATGTATGTTGAAGGGAAGGAATATATTTCAGATGCTGTTACTGGTCATCATCTTTTAATTTTTTCTAATTTTTCATTTATAAAGTTTATTTTGCAGCTCATAAAATTCCTAAAAACTAAAAAGTCCATAAAACTTCTCAATCTGAATAAGGACATAAAACTGCTTATATAATAATTATAGAAAAATGAAGATATACACTACCGTTCAAAAATTTTGGGTCAGTGATATTTTTCTTAAGAAATTAATACTTGCTTATTAAGGATGCTTTAAATTAATCAAAAGTGACAATCAAGACTTTTACATAGTTATAAACTAAATAAAGTTATGTTCTCAAATATATATTTTAAAAATATATACAAAAATATATTTTGATATAAATATACTTTTAAATAAATGCTGTTCTTTTGAATTTTCTTTTCATCAAAGAATTCTAAGACGACGAAAAAAAATCAGTTTCCATTAAAATATTAGAATGATTTCTGAAAGACCATGTGACACTTAAGACTGGTTTAATGGCTGCTGAAAATTCAGCTTTACCATCACAGGAATAGAGTTATTTTAAATTGAAATAACATTTCACAGTAATACTGTTTTTACTGATATAAATGCAGCCTTGCTGAACATAAGAATTTTCTTTCAAAATCATACCGACCCCAAACTTTTTAGCAGTAGTGTAGGTTATGGAGAATAATAGCATGTTGTCACACCACAGGACACTGCTTGAAATTTCACGTCAGCTACTCCTATACAGATGTTTAATTGTAAGATACATGTTGAAAAAGAGGAACAAAGCGGGAACGCCGCCAAAATGAGTCTAGAAAATAAGCCGCCAAAAACAGACAGTGAAGAAAGGGCAAACAAGCAACTGAAGAAGAGGAAAAGTTATGCCTGCACTCTGCAAGCAAAACCATCAGTGAGTGTGGGAAAACAACTGTGTGTACACGGGTTCACGAGGAGCTCACGTGATACGGTTGCACCACAACCGAGACGCCGTACTCACCGTCCAGGTGGCTGACTTGGCCGTGCTCGACTGCTGGAAGGTGACCTCGAAGTTGTGCGGCCCGGGGTAGTCAGTGTTGGAGGGGATGGCCGGGGCTGGAGACATGGCCTCGAAGGTCGAGTTTGGCTGGGAGTAGGGTGACGGCGTTGGCACGTTGGAGGTGGTCTCTGAGCTGTAGGGACTGGTAGACGCTGCTCTGTTCCCCAAACCTTGTTCCATACTGCTGCTCAGTAGGCTGTACTGAGACTGAGAGGAAAGCAGAAAGAGAAGGAGGGTGAGACAGGTGAAGGAGTGGGAGGGAGGCAGAAAGTTGACTTTGAGGGAGAGAGGGAGGAGATAAGACTCCATCTACTCCACTTCTAGAGCTCCAGTTACACCGCGTTGGGATGTACGAGAGGGAGTCATGCCTCCAGGCGAAGGGTAGGTTGTAAAACACAACCGAAATCTTTCAATGTCTAATTGCCTGCCATTCTCTTCTCTAACTTACAAACACAAAACTCACAGATCATACCCACCACCACACATAAATTATGAAGTGTCTCCATGTGTTGTGCTAGAAGTACCTCAACAAATGTGTAAAAAGTAAAGCTCAGCTGGACAAAGACATTATGACATGATAACAACAAAGCCTCCTTGAGATTGGGAAAGGCGCTATATAAATTAAACGTATTATTATTATTATAACATGATCTAATTTGGTAACAAACCATATATTCTAATGCTTTTGATGAGCTCACACTTTTCTATGTTGTGTTTTATTTGTTTCATATTTCCATGCATTTTGAACATTTCTAGCACAGTTTAGGAAAGTTAGCATCACTATTATTCATATGTAAGGTTAGTGTTTTTTTAATCGTCCCATACCATTTGTATGAAAGCCTGTTTCCACCACTGAATAAAAAATAAAAAAGGTAACTGCGACTTTTTTCTCAGAACTGTGAATTTATATCTCAATTCTGAATTTATTTCTCAGAATTGTGAATTCTGACTTTATAACTCACAATAGCAAGTTTATATCACACAATTCTGAGAAAAAAAAGTCTAAATTGTGAGATAAAAAGTCGCAATTCCCATTTTTTTCTTTTTTTTTTCATTATTCAGTGGCAGAAATGGGCTTCCATACATTTGCACAGACTTAAATTAATTACGCAGTTTATTGAAGATAGCTGGGTTATTACTTTTTCTTTTCTTTTTTTACTACAAAATGTAAAAAAAATGGAAATATGGCTAGCAATGGCATAGCAACATCCAAGCAAGCACAACATCACTGCTTCACTGCTGAAGCTTTCACAGAAATCAAATGTAAAAACCACTGTTATTATATAAATCTGACATAAAATGATCTTCAAAACCTCAAAAAATAAAAGCAAATGCTAACATTATCACTTGAATCATGCAGACATATTTTGACATAATAACTCAAAGTTCAGGAAAAAAGCATGATGGGTAATGATTCCCACAAAACCTCTGAACCAATCAGAGCCCTGTGAAATAAGATAACCAAACTGCAACACAAGTCAAGCGAAGAGAAAAGTCTTTACCTTCTTTTTCACATAGTACATTGTCCAAACGGACAGAATCACATGTCTTCGGCTTCACGACACACTGATGAACCCACAGGAACCATAGTGAGTAAAACACTCATCTCAAGGTCTCCTCAAGCTGAGACGTTATCACCTGTTCTCTCTCCTGTGGAGTCCTGATCCTCGTGGACACAAGGAACCAGAGCAGGTGGAGTCCAGAGGGACGGAGGTCAGAAACCATGCACGCATTGTCCTAATTATGGCATATCGGCAGTCAGACAACACCTGCACAAGTATATACTTGCCGGAAGACACTTTCTCAAGACCATGCCTGTGTGAATAACACCATTCAAGCATGCACAGGAGAAAAGAGAACTAGAAAGATAAAGCAAAGGGTTCAAAGGTAGACCGAAGAGGTTTTCAAAATGCAATTAAATGAAAACTAGAACCGTGTGGTGCTTCCTGCAAAATTTCAGCACAGAAATGCAAGATTGGTAAGTGGTTAATAAGTGGTTATTTACTGGCCCAAGTCAAAAGCCCAACCCAAATCTCAATATCTCTACTTCAGTGTAAATCTATGGGACTTTTCCACCTGTTTTTTCATCCACTAAGAAAAAACGGCAAATCTGACCACTACAACAAGCCACAGAATCATTCATGCTAATATTGATACCTGCCTTTGCATGTATCTACAGTGTAATCTATGTCCTCATTATAGATTTTTGGTAACACTTTACAATAAGGTTCCATTAGTTAATGTATTAACTAACATGAATCAACAATGAACAGCACATTTATTACAGTATTTATTAATCTTTATTAATGTTAGTTAATGAAAATACAGTCGTTCGTTGTTAGTTCACAATGCATTAACTAATGTTAACAAGCACAACTTTTGATTTTAATAATGTATTAGTAAATGCTGAAATTAACACTAAGATTAATAAATGCTGTAGAAGCATTGTTCATACTTAGTTAATGTTAACTAAAGTAGTTAACTAATGTTAACTAATTAACCTTATTGTAAAGTGTTACCTAGATTTCTAATAGATTTCTGTTTTTGCCTCAGATAGGGTGCTTTCTAGAAAGCATCTCTTACAGTTTTTCTGAATTGCTAAAACACTAAACCCCAATCTCTGAACCAAATTCTCACTAGCTTAAACCAATTTGTTGAATAAAGCACACTTTCTGCTAAACCTTAAACATGTTCAGGCAGTTAGGCTCTATTTGCAAATCTCATGCACTCTTTTTTTGAAAAACTCTACACACATTCTCATTCACTTAAACACTTGTCACACTGTGATGCATTTGTGCCGCAAAATGCTAAACACAAGCAGCAACAGTTAAACACAACTAAAGCACAGTTGTCATCGTTTACACACAACGATTCAAAATTGGTTACTCAATACAATATACTTTTTTCTGTAATGTTCTGGATGCTGTGTTCTCCATTTTTCTCTGTAGTGTCTAATGAATGCTCTGTAGTGTTTATTTTATTGACTCATGTGTGTGTGTGATCTGAGAGCACTGTTTGATTTTGAGTAATGAGTGATGGTTTCAAGAAATGTGTTTTAGCAATTCAGAAAAACTGTATGAACAATATAATGTGAGAAGCGCTGTTTCAGATCAACCACACACACACACACACACACACACACACTCAGGTGTGCCTCATCAGTAAGTCTAAACATGCTCTGTGACAAGTTGAAACAGTACAGAAGCATTGTTGTGTGTGTGTGTGTGTGTGTGTGTGTGTGTGTGAGAGATAGAATGATAGAGGGAAAGTGCATGTGTGTTGTGTGCACTTATGTCTGTGTGAGTAAATGATTCAACATCATTTACAACATCATTGATCTCTTTCTCTTAGTCTATCTGTATTTAATGAATGAATTGTCCTTTAAACTAACATCTGTGACATTCATTCAACCAGATTTAACTATATTATGAAGGCAGATTTTAAAAGTTGGGCAACTTGGGGCAAATTGTCACATACATTTTAAAAGTTATAAATGCATACATTATACAATATTTTTTTTTTGCCTTTACATTTTTTATTTACTAGTTGTCGTTTTTTTGCGATTTATGAATAATTGTTGCTGTAAAGCCTGTAATAAGGTTTAATGGCAGGTTTTATTGTGACAACTTACCCCATACAGTGCTGAAATATGTTCAATGAACTACTGTGTGACCACAAGTCTTTATACAGTATATTACATATTTTATAATATATTTCAAAGTACACCTGACGGATTTTAACATAACATAGTAAGCAGTATGCAGATGCGTCTGTGAGCTGCAGAAATATTTACTGTACTAACATGTAAAAACAGCACCCTCTGCTGTAAACTGAAAGGACTGACATGATCACATCTATTTAAAACTGCTCTGTTTAATCCTGATAATAATAACCTAATGAACTTAAGTAGATTGTTTGGGACTTTGTAAACAGGTGTGAGATGACTGAACTAAATAACAAAATATTACTAGAGCCAAAACAATCAAATGTTGCATTTGTTCAGTTCAATTAACAATAACTCTGTCATCCCTCTAAAAGAATCGAAACAAAACCAAAGTTGTGCACAGAAAGAAACATCAACAGGTGTCCATCTTAAAGATGTACTGTAGCTATAGCATCAAAACAGCTGAAGGTTTTCTATCAAGCAGCATGTTCAAGTCACATTAATAATAGTACATGAACATGCATTATTTTTTTAGATCATATGAAAGCTATCTTTCGAGGTATCATTAAGCATTTGCACACGCATCTGTGCAATCTATAGTACTAGCTACTATAAGTTGTATATTTATCATTTATAATCAAATTATTATTTGCAAATCAATTACAGACAAACCTAGTAATGAAAGACCCAATAAAAAAGCAGACTGCTATTTCAACAGATGTGTCATAGGAGATCAATGTCTAAATGTAATTTAATATAATGATAAATAAAAAAAATAAAATAAAAAAAATAAATAAATAAAAATAAAATAGCACAATATATATGCTATTTTTTATTTTGCATTACAGCAATATTTAAGCACATTTCCCCTATTCTAATTAAATTAAAAATTAAAAAATGCAAAATGCATCCTCATTACTGCATTATTAATTGTATTAATTGAAAGTATATATATATATATATATATATATCAAACTATATTACAGTAATAAGAATCAAATGAAAATCACAACTTAAAATATTGGAAATTACAAAAAAGAAAAATGTTCAGATGCATTACGGTAAGGAGAATAGGGGGAAAATGCTTAAATGTCTTATAATTGTCCTAATGGTCAAAAAATAGGCTTCCTTTTTAATGCAAAATATAATTTCTTATGTATTTGTTTTGATTTTGGGGTGAAGTTTGATCTTGTGAGATTTTGTGTGTCCATCTATCCATCCCGTCTCCTGCTCTCTGTTTCCCGGGACGTTTGCCCCAGATGGGAGGCAGGAGCAGGTGTCATGTTCCGGGCTTGGCTTTTCTCTCTAATTAAGGCATCACAAGCTCCCACTACAGCCTCCACTCACACATGCTGCAGAGCCCGAAGGGAGGGGAAAAAACAGCACAGGAGAGGGAAACTGGGGACTGAGGAGGGAATCCTGATGAATAATGAGGGAAAACCAACACTGTTCAGTATACAGGGTGTTTTTTTGTGGATGGGAGGTTGACATGACGTTGCTATATTCTCACTAAATTTCTTCGCTTTATTTTTGTAATTCTTGTATAATTAATACACCTTCAGTTTTAAGCCCCTATTTTAACTGAGAGATTACATGGAATTAAAGTGATAGTTGACCCCAAAATAAAAATCCTGTCATAATTTATTCACCCTCAAGTTGTTCCAAATCTGTATGAGTTTCTTTCTTCTGTAGACCACAAAAGAAGATAATTAAAAAAATGTGGATAGCGAAACATTTGATGGGCCCCATTGACCCCATAGTATTGAAAGAAATACTATGGAAGTCAGTGGGGACCAAAAACTGTTTGGTTAGTTGATTTTATGTAAATCTGCACGCAGATTCTTCTTACTATGACATTGTCGTTGATGTCTCTCATGTCTCTCATATGGTAGACGTCCATGCAGACTTCAGCATGGTTGCTGGGCAGGCTGCTGGAAGGCACCCTGTCCCCTGAGTGTCCCGCCTGAGGAAGCTCAAAATATGTGCTGTCTGGCTCACTGCAATAACACAGAGAGAGGGTACATGAATCACAAATGTATATAAGGCCTTCCAGCTTATATCAAAAGGTCATGTAAATGCTTTCTGTGTCAGAATTTTTTGTAACAACTGTATTTCACAAAAAAAAGAAAGAAAAAAAAAAGAAAGCTGCAGTTTATCCTGAAATTGTGCAAATTGTTACTAATATCAACATAAACTGCATTATGTAGATGCATGCAAATGAACTCACAGGGTACTCCACAAGTGTTCAAAGGTTGTACCCTCATCAGCGGTGGACGACTGGGACATCTTGGATGTTGGACAGTCCACCACAGGGCAGATTACACTGAAAATCACATAACAAACAAGGGTTACCAGACGTACATGCATAAAGCAAAAGCAACCTTTAATACAGTCAAATGTATGGTGGAGGAGAGAGCTCAACACGCTGCAAATGAAAAAACACCTTCATCAGTTTGACAACACATGTGCTGCAAATTCTCACAACACAAACAAATATGGACACACGCTGCAAAACCAGGAACGCGCTGCAAACACACCCAAATACAGAAAAGAGCAGCAAAGATGCACAGACCACATCGGAAATGTTTAAGGGAACCGCAACAAGTGACGAACCTGGCTGGGACACGCTTATCAATGTTTGCTCTGAAAGGTGAGATCCTTCTTTGTTTTAACATCCTGATCATATGATTCCTTAGCGGACAAAATACACAATTACTGTAACTGTGAAGCGTTATGTAAGCTGGCTAACTTACCTTAGAAAAATTAACCATGGTTGTACTATTGAAAAAAAACATTGTTATTATAGTTAAACCATGGTAACCAGAAATTAACCATGGTTTTGCTACACAAACAGTTTAACCATGGTATTTGTACAACGGTGGTTATACAGATGGTAAATACATATTGTTACTACACTTTGACTATAATAAAATCGTGGTTCATTTTCGTAAGCATTGTTGGGGTCCCCTTTAAACATTTCCCTTATGAAAATTAAGCATGGTTTTGTTATAGTAAAAGTGTAGTAATCATGTTTTTTGGCATATTTTACTACGATTTAACCACAGTTTTACTACAAATATCATGGTTAAACTGTGGTTAGTGTAGCAAAACCATGGTTAATTTGTGATTACAATGGTTTAACTATAGTAACCATGTTTTTTTGGTTTTATTTGTAGTAAAACTATGGTTAATTTTCATAAGGGTTACATTGTCGTCTGTGCTATTTGCAGCGTGTTTCTGTATTTGGTTGTGTTGTGAGTATTTGCAGCACATGTGTTGTCGAACTGATGAAGATGTTTTCTTAATTTGCTGGTGCCTTTTCTATTTGCATGTGTTTTCTTAAGATGCAGCGCGTTGAGCTCTCTCGGCCACCGTAAAAATGACCTGCTGCAGCTACTGACATTCATGCAACTGCAGACCAACAACCATAAAGCGTAACTACTGCAGAAAGTGGTAGCCTGCAATTGTTACATTAAATAGATAGTTCTACCTAATTTAACCATATCATACCATATATGACATATGCATATATATATAGTTTAGTCATGAAACTCTAGATGGCGCAGGCTGATGGGTTGTTAACTTAACTGATGATATTCAGAGAGTTAAACGACTTGGCACAAGCTGATTGGTTCATGCTGCATATGCAGCCAATGAGCTTACTGCCTTGCATTTATATGGCTGGCTAGCATTCACTAGAGATTCCTGCAGCGCGCTTTCAGAGTTTCTCTGAAACCCTCCACCTTCCCCAGCTCCACCTGTATAGATCTGCTACGGGTTATTTTATATGCTATTCGTGCAGCAGCAGTATGTCTTAAATACTCACGGCACCGTATCAGCTTTTGTATTGGCAGTAGCAAGTTCCTGTACTTGCTTGCAGCAGCAGCAATAATCTTCAACTACAGCAATAACCAACAGCAGCAGCTATTCAGCAGCAGCGTAGCAGATCAATTCCGCCAAGACCAGATACATTAACATTGTCATATCCATCACCATGCTAAAATCTTCAGAGAGTTGTCATGATTAAAATAGTAGTTTTAGTGGAATAAATTAAAATATTTAGGTTGATTCAGCTATATTAAATACTATTTTTGACTTGAATAAAACCAGTTAATTTAGCTGTCACCATTTTAGGTTCCCATCTTTTTTTTCAGTGTAGCACATGTACTTCTTTACATCTTGTGTCACACCCAAAAAAAGAAAGTCACAGTTGAGTTAAAAAAAAAACAAAAAAAACATGAGGGTGAATAAATGACAGAATCTTCATTTAAGGGTGAATTATTCCTTTAAAAATGGATTTTTAATCAAACTGAGCTAAATACTATGAAAAAGAGATAAATGAAATCTACATTTGCAATGTATTAATTTATTTTTTAATTAATTTGTTTTTATTTATTAAATAAAAACTTAATCATCCTATATAAATGGATCATTCATTCATTCATTATGATTCTACATTTTAATCATAATCGTTATTCATTAATAGACCCAGCAATTTTATAATAGACACTTATTCTGAAGAAGAGGAACATTATAATTGCTCTGTATTCATGCTCTATAAAATAACTCTCTCTGAACTGCATCATTGTTTAAAGACTGAACACACACAAGATTCGATTTCAAAGTAATTTCCACCCTGCTGCCCAACGCATCTTCTGAAGTTTGAATCCCCGCAGATTTTGAGGCTGGATGCACAGATTCAGAATAAAGATGCCAGGCTCGACGTGTCCGAACCTGCCTGGCACTGCTCCACTGTGACAGCGCTGCAGACCACAAGCTTCCTCCATCATATTACTCACAGGAAATGAGGGCTATAAGAGTCTATCCTAACCACACAAGAACAAGTCATCACAGAAAGTGAGTCTGCTGCTGTTGTGGGCCATCCAACTGAAACATACTATAAAACACTGATACAAAATTAGAAAATGTCATAAACAATCAAAGAACTACAGTAAGTTCAGATGTGAAAGCAGGTTATGCCATTTATTAGCAATGTATTAACATTCGTCATGATTTTGCACTCAAATGATTTCATGTCATTTGGATGTAAGAAAAAAACTACTGTTTTTTGATTGTTTTTACGAAAAAAGCAAGATAAATCACTCAAATACCCATATCTTAATATATTATCACTGAAGAAAAAAACAACAACATCCCTCACACTGTGGATGATATTTATCAAGCCTGTTTGAGTAATGAGATAAATGTGAAGAAACTAAAACCACAGTGCTATTTTTTGATACACTGTTATGTTTCCACACAGTAAGCTGAAAAAAATATATCCTATGAAATTTTAATTACATATGAATGTAAATTAGGTATATTTAAAATAATGCATTGACCTTATTAAAAATTACAATAATAAAATGTTGGCAATATTTTTAGCCCTCTGACTATTTGTCAGGGTCTAGTTTTTTTTTTATTTTTTGTATTTTAAATTCAATTTCTGTGTGGGCTTGACTAAAAAATACGCTGAACATCCATAACATTTTTGTTCGGGAAAAAAACGTACTGTAAATAAAGTAAGCTTAGTTCATTAAACACACTTTGATCTTAATCGTGCCAACAACAAAAATGAGCCTGGCGTTAAGCAGTTTGATGAACATGGATACTTAATAATCTCAATAGCAAAACAATTGTCAAGCAGCAAAATGTAAAAGATAATTTAATCAATTGTATACATTTATAACACGTATCTAACATTTATGAAAAATACTCTTTTGTTGAGAAAACTGCCTTTCGGTTAAAAACTGCAACTCGGAATAGCGGTTTCATGTGTTCACATGTTTTGCTATTACAAAACAAAATGATGATATTATAACTGTAATTTGGAGAACACAATTAACAAAAATAATTGTAATTTTAGAAATGTTTAAAACCAACATTTTGCTAGTAAATAGTAAATTATACTCAATACAGAGATAATTCTCGTGACAACTTCGCCATGACAACTAGCTAGGCTATATCCCGGTCTCCCCTTAATTTAAAATGAAACAGAAAAGTCTAAATGTGCTCATTTTAAAACAAATAAATAAAAAAGAAAACGTTGTCTCGTATGAGTGTCTTCATGCGGCGACGGCCTTGCTTTGAAAGCTGCATAAGCTAAATCATGTTTTACTGTTAAAACTGAACGCACTAATCTATGATCACATTTTAACACACCCGACAAAACCATGTTTTGCCCCTAAATACTTCTATTATCCTAAAATAACTTTTATACACTCTCCGTAATTTTGGATGTTTACTAATGTTGACCTGTATTCCCGAGACAGCTGCCGCCTTGAGAGGAGTTACAGCTCTGGCAGCAATTACACACACACACACACACACACACACACACACACAGCAGGGATTCAAGCGGAGAATTGAATTATCACTTGACAAAGGCCTTGCATTTATTAATAGTGAAGCTGTATCTTACCGAAGCTCACGCTCAACAGCTGAACAACTGACCAGCCACAGCCATCATGGAGCGGCTAATAATGCGAAAAGTGCTCTTATTCCTTAAACAAAGGAGCCCAAAATGATTGGGAAATTAAAAAATAGTGTTCATACAGACTACAAACTGTTTCGCGCGAGCATAACTGCATTCAGCGCAAGACTGAACTAAAACAGCAACCTTGACAACCAGCCACACAAGAGCAGTCACACACTTCACCTCACGCCCTGCTGCACTCAAGATGCATTAAATCGGATTTAAACAGCATTTTAGCCTACGATATTATTTATAAGATAATATAAGATTTTGTCGTTTTAATTTAATTTATATTTTCTTTACTGTTATCCTATAGTAGGCTATATATCATTCGGATATATTATTTAATAATTAGCCTATATACCAATAATATAATAGGTTAATATATAATTTAAATAGCCTATAATATAATATAATAAAATATAGGGATAATATACATTACACTAGTGGATGAAGAAATATAAACAGATTAATAGGAGGTAGGAGCTTGCTGAATTATTGTGCACATGTGAAAATAAAAAAAAACTGCACAGAAAAGCGCTCTCTTCAGAAGTGCATCTCTCTTATCCAGTCTACTGTACATGTTGACAGACAATTATCATAGTGAACTCTGACCACTGCATCATATCACTGCATATCGATGTTCTAACTGATAGACAAACAAAAACTAATTAAATCGCAATAGTAGCCTATTGTTTTGTGCTTTAGATGCATAAATAGCATTCATTAATCCGTACATGAAAAGAAATAAATAAATAACCCGATCAATTGAGTGATTTAGACATATTTACTCTTTTTTTTTTTTGCATTATAAACGTCAACAAATTTGAATGCAACTACGTTCGCCTTAACACAAATCTGGTCTATAATAATAAGCTACTGGAGTGGATGATTAAAACTAGAGCAATGTGAGCTCTCTATATTATTATTATTCCCGCAAACTCGCCTTTTTATAGAGCGAAGAGTTCAAACAAACCATAAACACTATATGTATATTGCATTTACTTACCAAACAAGTTATATGCCCGGCTTGCAACAACCTAATGCGATGTTCTCTGGATCCCAAACTCAGTTTCCTTGACCTGCAGCTGACCCTCGCAACGCAAACTAGTAGCAAGCGAGCTGCGAATTAAGCCACTGAACAACAAAACGTACCTCGAATCTGTCAGTAACGGGCCAGACGCGAGAGGCAGCTGAGGCTGATTATGCAGGTGTAGGGTAATAGGCTGGCGGAGTGTGAGGGCACTTGATGCGGAGGGGAACTGGTGGAGGACGGGAGGAGGAGGAGGCGTTAGCCGCCGTTTGGACGCACACGAGCGGGAAACACTAATCTGATTAACCTCTTAAGTGTCACCTCCCGTTTTTGAACATATAGAAGTAAAAGTGCACTATCCGAACTTACATTGTTATAACTAATGGACGCTTTTTAAAGAACTCTTTTTAGAGAAGACAATCGTCATTTTATTGTAGAAGTGGAATCATTTCAAAATATTTGAAAATATCAAAAAGTTTACATTTACTGTAAAGAAAATGCACTGTACAATTTTTATTTTATTTTATATAAATATAATAAATATTTTTCATAACAGGTTTTACACTAAAATTACTATAAAATTAAAGCTTTGTGTCTAAATAAGTTATTATGGAAGCCCGCTTCCGCCACTGAATAAAAATAATAAAAAAAAGGTAATTGCGACTTTTTATCTCACAATTCTGACTTTTTTTTCACAGAATTGTTAGACATAAACTCGCAATTGCGAGTTATAAAGTCAGAATTGCGACTTTTCAGACAATTCTATGGTGACAGAGAAGTGCAAAACAAATCACAATTCTGAAAACAAAATAACAAATAACAAATTACAAACGCAAATGCAAGTCCAAAAAACAAAATAACAATTCAGAAAACACAACAACAATTCAGAAAACATTATAACAATTCAGAAAACACAATGACAAATTCGAAAACAAAATAACAAGTCAGAAAACACAAATCCGAAAACAAATGAACAAGACAGAAAACACAATGACAAATCAGACAAACCGGAAGAGGTAGGTATAGTTTGAGACAGCGCCATTGGTTTGGGATTACTCACCACTGACTGGACGAGACATCTGTCAATCAACGTATACAGGAAGAACCAGCCGAAGAACAGCAGAGTCGTGGTAGAAAGTTCGGAGATGGTATTAAAGTAGCTCAGTTTAAATGTATTGTATGAATTGCCCTTACTATGGAATAAAAAATACGGAGTGTATATTTACATTTAGTTAAAAGTGGCTGTAAAACATCAGCTCCAGTGGCGCAGATGGATAAGCACGTGCTCTTAGCTTATTGACGTGATCGACCCGGGTTCGATCTCACCTTTTGCCGAACTTTTTTTTTCTCCCTTTTCAAGTAAATAGCATATTGCTAAAAATCCTGCTATTTTCACTTAGTGTAAATAGAATCCATTGCTAATACGAGATTTGAAAAGGGAGGAAAAAAAAATTCGGCAAAAGGTGGGATCGAACCCCGGTCGATCACGTCAAAAAGCCAAGAACATGCACTTATTCATCTGCACCACTGGAGCTGATGATTTACAGCCACTTTTAATTAAAAATGTAAATAGACACCCCGTATTTTTTATTCCATAGTAAGGGCAATTCATACAATACATTGTACGTTGAATCAATGAAAGCGGTTGAATCTTCTGTTTATTCAGCTGCAGCGATAGGCATTTTCTGGGTTTCTTCTGCGAGGTGTATTTGGAGTTTCAGCGCGAGAGCGCCCTCTGGCCTTTGGATGGAGATTTACTGCTGATCACAGAACCGTGCTTCACTGAAAGATACGCATGACAATCGCAGCTTCTGTCGAATCGCGATTTATCGCCTTTGCGATTTAATTTCGATTAATCGTTCAGCCCTACTTGACACCGCCCACTTAGGGGGAGGAGACCGCCAAAAGATTTTAAAGTACCATTTCCATGGTAACGCAATGTCCCATTTCAAAATGGTTTTCACAGGATGAATTTCAAAGCTTTCAAATTATATCTAACGTAGGGTGATTGATTACTAACATTTTTGATAGAGTTAAAAGGCAATAAATTATGTAATGGCTGTGGGCCCACCGGTGGGCCGGTGACACTTAACAGGTTAAAGGTTGACATTGACACTTTCACTTTACTCATTCGCTTCATTCTCTTTCTCAGTCTTTTAGTCCCAGACTACAACTGTCCCTCACAGAATCGTAGATATCGATTTATTTCACCTGCCTCTCCTGACAGCACGTTTTTGCATTTGTTTTGAAATGCAAGATAAAGCCATAAAATGCAGACAAGTCATACAATTACTCGTCCTAAGCCATATTTATTGTTAAATCTAGAAAATAAACGATGAAACATCATTTCCCACAATCACCCTGTGACACCGCCGATAAAGCGCGGCGCTGATTGGCCGTCAGCGTGACGGTCTCGCACACGTCACTTCCGAAACAACAAGCGATTCGGTTAGAGCTCCTCGATTGATTCTTATGAGAGTCTTTTTGTTTTATACCGCAAATGTCTTAATAATTGACCAAAAAACTCCTCGGACCAACTGAGAAAGGTAAACTGTTCAAACCCATACAGAGAGTCTTCTGTTAACGCAGACATTAGATGTGTAACCTTGCGTTTTAACTTAAATAAGCAAACTGACACGGAGCCGTTAAGCCCGATAAAAGATAATTTATGGATTAATTTTGTTGTTTTTAAAACCGAATAATTTTGTAATATTCGTGCTGTTATTAAATTCAGGATTTGACGTACTCGAAAAGTATTTTAAAGAATAGGTTTTGTCTTAAATTCTAGGTTTAACACACAACCCACCTACCTGCCTCGCGTTACCTGGGCGAGTCTCTCGAATTACAAACCTGTCATGTCCGGGTCATATTTCACCCCAAAATCAACAGATAGAAATAAGAAATATATTTCGCATGAAACCTGTTTAGGAACATTACTTAAGTGTGCGTGCATAATGGTAATATCTGTAATACATTTAAACGCTTTCATGCTGATTTGTAGCCTTTATTCTGGTTTATTGAGATTTAAAAAAGTCAAAATTGTTATTAATTAGACTGGTGATTGTCATTGGATTAATTGCAGTAGTGTGAATCTGATGAGAATCACAATTGAGAATTACAAATAAAATGTAAGTAAATGTATTGAAATCTTAATGTTCCTTAAATAGGAGTTATTTACCAAATTTATTTATTACTTTCATTTTTTTTTTAAATATGACATCTTTTGATTTTGTGGGGAAGTATAATGTGCACATGTTCTTTCAATAGGTTTTGACAGTCTTTCGGACACAACATCTTGGTTTAGTATGTTACTGTCAACATTTAAAAGTATGCATCAACACAGTAACTGTAAAATAGTTAACATATTTTAATTTATATTTATTTAGATTTACATTTTCATATTTGTCTTTCAAGATTTACTGTTTGTTCCTGTAGCATGAATTTCTCAGAGGTCTTCAAGCAGTCCAATCAACTGTGCAAAGTTTCTCCAGATGGCAAATATTTGGTAAGATGTTTTTCTTACAGCCATCAACATCTTCATGTGACAAATCAAATTTGGACTAGGATAGCATACTATCACACTGCTCATACTCTTTCTATTTAATTACCACATTCAATTTGGGCCTGTAGGCCACCTGTGTTCAGTACCGCCTGGTGGTCCGTGATTTCAACAGCCTTCAGATCGTGCACCTGTACACATGCCTGGACCTGGTGATGCACATGGAGTGGTCCTCTGACTCCCTCTTCATCCTTTGTGCCATGTACAAAAGAGGACTAGTGCAGGTATGACAAGCTGCCCATTGCGTTTTACCCAGAAGGTCTTAAAAAAGTTAGAAAAGTCAGATCATACTTCTCAACAGGACACATGATCTGAGGTGTCACATCTCTACTTGTCACTTTTTCAACAACTACATAAAATCTCCTAATTCAACTTTTACCCAAAATCAGCTTACCTTTGCAAGGGAAGCAAGCGCCAGTCTTTCATGTTGAGCCATTCAACAGGGCGACAGGATTCAGATATGTTTGTTACTGAAGGTACTTTGTGTTGCTGTGTATTCGCTCTCTCAGGTGTGGTCTCTAGAGCAGCCGGACTGGCATTGTAAGATAGACGAGGGTTCGATTGGTCTAGTCTCGTCACGCTGGAGTCCTGACGGGCGACACGTACTCAACACCACTGAGTTCAATGTAAGTATGGCAGTAGGAGGGGTCAGTTCTGCACCGTGTCAACTGTTGCTGCCCATAAATAAAGACCTGAAAATAACAAGACTCTCAGTTGATTCATGCAGTGGGTCACGGTCAGAAAAGAGAGTTTGAATACTGTTCTTCCGAAAATTACTTCTTATGATCAGGTTAATACGCAAAACGTGAGACATAAAGGACAAAAATAACAAAAAATACCAAATTGTGGACTAATAGTACTATCTGCAAAATATGGTGTTTTTTGTTTTATCTACATGAATGAAAAATGACACTACATGTAATTTTGAATGTACACTACCTTTCAAACATTTGGGGTCTGTACGAATTTTGTAATGTTTTTGAAAGAAGTTTCTTCTGTACACCAAGGCTGCATTTATTTGATTAAAAATACAGGAAAAATTGTAATTTTTTTTTTTTTTTCCCCCTTAGCTCTTATTTAATTTTCTGGTAAGGCATACACTTCAACAAACCTGAGTTCTAATAAGGGAAACAACAGTACAGTACATTTAAATGTACAGAAATAAGTGGAAACAAAATAATGAAAAAGATTAAAAAAAAAATACTGAAAGGCTAGCCAAGTCAAAATAACCCAGGGATTACACCACGAAGACATAAAGAATAATAGATAATATTATAAAATGTAATTTATTTCTGTGATGCGCAGCTGAATTTTCAGCATCATTACTCCAGTCTTCAGTGTCACATGATCCAGAAATCATTCTAATATGATGATCAAGAAACATTTCTTATTATTATCAATGTAGAAAACAGTTTTGCTGTTTCATATTTTTTGTGGAAACTGTGATGCATCTTTTTCTTGATTATTTGATGAATAGAAAGTTCAAAAGAACAGCATTTATTTGAAATCGTTTGTAACCATGTAAAAGTCTTTACAGTCACTTTTGATCAATTTGATGCATCCTTGCTGAAGAAAAGTATTAATTCGGTAACACTTTAGTTTAGGGACCAATTCTCACTGTGAACTAGTTGTTTATTTGCATGCATATTACTAGCATATTGGCTGTTTATTAGTACTTAAAAAGCACA